GATCAGTATAGTGGCCGGAGACCCATTAACTGGAGATCCCGAAATTTGAGAATCTATTCTGAGGTTTTGAGACAAGAAGTGAGGAATGGCAGCCTGATCCTGTCACACATCCCAGGCTCATGTGATGCCTCTGAGGCCGGGACTAAATCGCTGCCTGCAGCACGTTTGCGGAAGCTTAGCGATGGAAAGGGCTTGATTGTTGTGGAGCCTGGTGCTGGGTCCGGGACCTTGTTCGGTTGTTGCAGTGCGAAAACTTCAAACAGCCATTCTTGCTTTGACCCTCGCAACTGCGGCAGGACAGCCTGTTGAACATCGAGATAAGGGAAGCATGAAGCTGTACGCCTTGATGTTCCTCGTCGCGTGCACTGCAAGTGTGCTGTCGGAAGCCGAAAGTTCGTAGTTAGGTTCCTGGCTCGAGTTTGTAGAAGGGAGCTGCCTGAGTCTGAAGGGGAAACTGAAGGTGAGAAGCCTGCTGAGGATCAGCCTTGGCGTGAGGATGATTTAATTGACGAGTCTTCTCCTAACAGCCCGGTGTCTGGGGTCAAAAAAGCTAGCGGGTCAACTGGTCTTGCTTTGGGGTTTTCCCAGATTCCACGCTTTGATTCTGGGGACTCCCAAGCTGATGATGAGCTTTACATAGGTCCTGCTTCAGCACAAGACCACGCTAGGGAAGCTCGGGACAGGGACATTGAGAGGCTCTGTGAAGCAGGAGCTGTGCAGATTACTGAAGCACCCTTGTCTTCAAGTAAACCTGCTTCCGGGCGACGAAGGGGTCTTCATGCATGTGCACCAAAACCAGATAACGAGTCAGAAGTTCTTGCAGAAGAACGTAGAGGTTTTGCCGTGCCGCCCATCCGTGCTGGAGGAAACTTCACCGTTGTCAGGGACAACGGAGGGAGATGGGTCGGGAACCATGAGGAAGTTATGGAGGAGGCTGAAAGTCGCGGTAAGCCCAGGCCTGGATCCTCCAATCATCCTTCGCTTTGATGGGCTTCCAGCCCCTATAATCAACCTACCCTCCGCTGCGTAAGCCAAAATGCTAGCGTGTGGGGTGGCCAAGCATCGGCGTTGCATCAATTGAGACCAAACTAGCGGTATGCTCGAGATTGATGGAGAATTCCAGTAGATCGTCCACATGTTCCTGATGAGAGGGCATTTTGCTGGAAGACGTCTTCTCCACAGCCCGGCACAGTCGCCGAGCCATACAATAGTTTTGGACCGCCGAACGGGGCGACGTAGGACCCTTGCGGTGCTCGGGGATGGACGGACCATCCTGTTGGATGACTGTTGGCATGATCCGGTCCAAGCGCGGCGCGAAAGACGAGTCTGTTTGGACAACCGCTTGATCATGCTTGCGCGCAACAAACACACTCAGGTGGGAAGGCGCTCGAACATCTTTCAAGCGCACGCCTTCGTGCCAACAAGGTAGCCCAATAGCTGGAGCGCAAGTTTCCTCACTTCCTCAGGGTTTTGCGTCGTCAGTGAGGCTATCCTTGAAACCCCATAGGCCACATCCGGTTTCGTGCGACAGCCAACCAAATGATCTCTCCAAGCATCAGCTGACACGCAGCAACATCTTCGGGGCAAGGCTCAAGGGCCAGGGAAGCTTCAAGAAGCACAGGACCTGGCGGAAGACAAATGGAGGTCGTTTGCAGATTGGGGTATTTACTGTCCAATCCTTCAATCTAGTGCCACCGACCCATCTCAGCTCCATGCCAAAGAATTTTGGCGTTGGAAGACCCAATCCACCAATCCACCCAGCCTTCCCACACTTCCAAAGTGACCGCGCCAAGTCAAGGAGCGACTCCGCAAAAAGCGAGGTCCCAACGCCAAGAAATCATCAATGTACACCAACAAGAAGCCCAAACGCTCCGAGCGGATGTATTCCCTCTCATGCAGCGCAACAGGGCAGCAACAGCCACACATTGGAATCAACCCTGCTCTGCTTGAGTCAGCAGCATACTCCTGCAACAATGATACGAGCATCATCCTAACTCTCTCTCTCTCTCTCTCTCTCTCGATATACCTGACTCTCGAGGGCTTTGGTCAAGACCACACAGCACGAAGGAGAAAAACATGCTTCACCACCAGCCCTCTGGTCATGCTCAAGGAATGGGGTCAAGCACATGTGCCCAATGATCATTTTGGGACACTTTCATGATGATGACTTCTCTAGAGTTACCCGTGGTCATGGGCGGAGGTTCCAGCCGAGGTCACGTCCGATGGAGAAGCGGCGCATGAAGTAAATGCCTTGGTGGCATCTGTGATGCCTCCATGCCAACCCTTCACCGTGGCAAAAGACAGCGCCAGTCTGAGCGAGCCCACATCCACTCCTGTGGCAGATAGGTCGGTGCCTTCTGAAATTGGCGTAAGATTTCCGCAAGCTGTGACTAGCCTTGAAACGGCCACCGGCCTTACGCGTCCAGGCAATTTTGGCAGGTACGATTGCGGTTTTGGTGCCCTGCTTTTCAAACTCACAAAGGTTTTCAGCTGTAATGATCCGGAGCGTTTGCTTTTCAATCAGGAGGTTATTTTTCAACTCCGTGTCGATTGCATCCGCCCGAAGGGAAAAATGCCGCTCGACCTCTTCCTGAAGCACAGTATGTGTGGTGAGAACAATGTGATCTGCCAGCAGTGACGCGTCTTGAGGGCCCTCGATCTTAAAGCAATGCTTTGCAATACATTGGATTCGCCTTACCAATTTTATCAACATGTTCGGATTCACTAGGGTCAGCAGAGCTATACTTCTATCAAGATGCCGGCTTCTCCGCGCAACGCGGACTTCAGGGCATGCTGTTCCCAATCCACCCTGACACCCGCGTCTGCCAACAAATCGCGGGACGAATCCGAGGACTCATGCTGCACAGCGATCTCCCCAAAATACAATTTATCATGCAAAAACAACAGCGCACTAGGTTCTTGAGCGGGTCCAACACCTAAAGAGACCTCTTCCATGCCAAGCTCCTGGAAAACAAGAGCGCAAACTCAGCAAAAGTCGTCTCTGCAACAGGCGTGACAAGTCTCAGGCTCATGCTGAACCCCACGCGCGTCTGGAGAAGTATACCCTCCCTCGGATCCTGAACTGGGGCCGGCCATGGTACGATCGCAACTGGCTCCCAGAACAGCGCTTCCACGAACCTTCCCCGTTTGAGCATTCAACGTACCCAGGCAAAACTCTGGCCGTGGCGGGGCGGCGAAGGCGAAAACTGCTCAGTGCAATACCTGACCACATCGCGTTCACACACCGAGCGCGCGCCAACAGTATCACTTTCACACGCGGTGCAGCTTTCGGTTTGGACATGAACTCCCGCATCAAACCCGCGCCCCTCAAGTTCATCCCTCCCATGGCCAACCGCCGCATCACACTCTTGCACCAACACCGGCACCCACCTTACTTGCCTCACGGGCACCCCCTTTTCTGGAAAGATATCGTTTTTTCAAAATCCCTGAACCACCCCTGTACAACCCTGCAGGAAACCCCAAACAAAGGAACAGACCTTGTTATTCCTTCATCCCTCACAGATTCCCGTATTTGACCTAAGGCAACGGGTGGGGTATCCAAGGCACAGTTTGAGGCGACAACGCTACAGTCACCTGATGAATCGTAAGCAGCCACCAAGATTCGAGACCCAGAATCCCAACCCTCTGACGCATGCCACTTATGGGGGTACAGAAAGAAAGGCTCATGGAGCTTCAGAGAATGTACCTTTCCAAGCACAGTGACCTCACGGACATCGAGCCCCTCGTCATTCTGAACCCAAGTTCCTCCGCCGTCGCTCGGCAGTTGAAGCGGAATCACCACGTTGGAAAATGGAAGATTCAGGTTGTCCTTTGGGGCTTAAGACATGCTTGGGAGAGAAGGGTGAGGGTGGTGAAAGGGTGCTCTGGTACGAGGTGGCGCGCTAGACGAACCAGGAGTCCAGCCATGCCTCGTGAAGTTCCAAATTCCTTAGTACTCGTCTTGTGAGGCCCACAACCCCACCATGCGTAAACATGCCGACTACCTCAGCAGAAGTTTCGCCCTCTTTCATGTACCGGCGGAGTTTGCCGCTGCACCCCTCTCTCCAATGTGACCGAAGCACAAAGGTTGGTGCCGTTGCCAAGCGCCGGCCCTTTTATCTTCAACAGGCAAAGCACCCAGGATTTTTGCAATGACACTTCTAGACTTAGATTTTACTCACTCGATGAGTGGGCGCATCCAGAGGTGTTCCGTCCTGAGCTGTGTCAGGTTTGGCTACAAACCGGCTAGGCTCAACGTACGCTTTAAGTGCTCATACACGCTTGGAGTAGTAAGCATCTCACCCTCAACAGTGCGCTCGAGGTAGCCCAACAACTCCCAAAAAAGAGCAAGAACCGAGGCCTTAATAACCTGCGGACTCCATTCCCCCTTTCCAAGTCGCCATGACCAATGCCTCACGTGCGCCTGAGCTCCAAAAGCACTACCGGTGACATCTTCCAACCGAAGAGCCTTGGAAACCGCCGGCGGGCAGCATGTCTCACAGCATATGGCCACTGGTCCTTGGCAATTCCGGCGTCAACCATCAAGGTCCGCGCGCGTGTGTTAGCGAGGCCTGTCAAAGAATCCGCGCGAGTGGTCGCTTTGAACCGGTCACACCAGTATTGGTTTTGTGTAGCCCTTTCTCGCGGGCACCATGCTCGAAACGTCGCCGTGAATACGCGTTAAACTACGCCAGAGCCCAAAGCAGCAACTGAGCCTCAACTGCTTTAACAGCTCCCAAAACTTTGGGCCTCGCATAGAGGACACTGGATTGGAAAAAGGCAAATGGATTTGGAAGTGAATCAGGCTCCTGAACCACTTCGGAATCTTCCTCCCGCAAGTCCAGATCCCATCCTGCTGCTTCCGGTTCATGTGAGTCCTCTGGAGCTTCAGGCTTCAGATTCCTGGGGGCCGTTTATGTGAGGGTCAACTGGGATAGAGAATGAAGCAGCTCGGAAATATCTAGCCTTTGGTTTCTCAACCAGTAGGGAGGCAGCAAGGTCAAGACGGAAGCCTCAATAGTTTCTAGCCGAAAATGTGAACCTTTTCTGGATCTGCCAGCCACACAGTGATCCCTAAAAGACTTATTGACAACGGCCCTAGCGACCGCGTCGTGAGTTTGAGAGCTTCAAGGATCGCGTCCTCTAACTCCCCAAAGGCCTGCTTGAACCCTGGCTCCCAGGCCGCCTAATCAGAACTCTTACCGTCACTTGACCTAATCTAATCTCGCGGCGCCAGGCCGGCCACAAGTCTCTGCTGACCGCCAGATTGCTAAACCTTTGGATGGCGTGCCCGAGTGGCCCTTGATCAAGTTTCACTTGCTCCAAACCAGAAGCTGTTCAAGTGTCTACATGTTGCCCAAACACTTCAGCGGCCGAAGCCGAGGTGTGTTTCAGGGCTTAAAAACCGATTTCCAGACCCCATTGAGCAGCTGCAGCTTGCGCCGAGGTGCAAACCCCCAACAAATCATCTTTCCAAACCTTCTCTTGCTCATCAACTGAAAGTCCTCACCTGGTCCCCTCTCAAAGCCGATCGGCAACATCTGATGCGTCTACGGCGATGGTGATTGAAACCCTTTGGCGGAAGACCTGAAGGTTACAACTGTGAAACCTCATCAATTAACTGGTCAGGCACATCTGGACACAGCCTAGCAAGCGTAGCTCGATGCTCCTTATAAGTCTGATCCGTGGCTTTCCCGTCGAGAGCCTCCTGAAAAGTCCCTGCGTGGAATCACGTCGTGTGACGTATGTGCACTTGCCCCATCCTATCGATCAACCTTACCGATCTGCAGGCCTGTCAGCCTGAACGTGGAGCTCTACAGGTGACGAGGCTACCCACTTGTCATACACAAGCCTTCTTGGCATCTTCCCAAAACATATCAGCCGTGGGGCTCAAGGAGGCCATATAGCAGGAGCCAGCGACACAATCCAGTCTCCAACCACAATAGCCGAAATTGTGGGGTCGAACCCTTTTGGAAGCTCAAGGAAAGTTCTAGCCAGTTCTTACCGGGATTCGCCGACGCATGAAGGTTGCCACAAACCCAGCGGAGCCCCTATAGCCCGAAACCCTGGTTGAGACCCCCTAGATTTCCCCTAAGTCACCCGAACCATTTCCTTGGTGGATTTGGCGGTGGTGGGGGTATACTAGGGAAGCCGCCAGCAGACACCAATGGAGTCCATTCAGAACTGCAGATCCTGCGTGTGGTACGCTTGGCACCACGGGGTTCCCAGCCTTATCGTTCTGAGTGGCAAAATGGCCGTACCTCTGGGAGCAGACGGATGCACAGTCCGACGGCGTTGAATGACGACTTGTGAACCATGAGGCTTGAGTTGAGCTTCCTTAGCAACACTTCTTCCAGGACTAGCAAAGGGCCCCTTGAGGGAACTAACTCGGGTGTCAGGAAAGCTCTGGCTGCGGCGAGGTCTTGTGCTGTGAAAACGTCAGATGCTAGGAGCCACTTGTTCGATTTCAGCTGAGACTGCAGTGAAAAGAGATAGAAGGTTTGGCCCAAGCACAGCGGCCAAAGAGGACCCTGCAGTCCATCGTTCCCTCTCATGCTCCTTCTCTATACCCCTAGTTCCGAGCTCTTCATCCCTCGCAGCTGGTGGCTCAAGAGAGCTTGCTTCGATGGAGTGAGATCGCTGGGCGTGATCCGCCAGGCGTACTTCACTTCATCTACAACTGTTTTTCCACTGTGCTGTTCGATGCCACCCCCCGTGATAATGTGCAGCCTGCCACTGACCCTCGCCCTTTCGGTCGCCATCATGCGCTGCAGCCCCTTTACCATCTCCGTCCCTACGTCCCACATCGTTAGGAGGGGACTGTGCAATGGCATGGCTTGCACCAGCTGAGGTCAACTCTTTCCAGACTTACGTGCCAAAGGAGCAGCCTGAAATACTGCACGATGATCGAAGCATGGACTGAAGCCGCTGAACCACTGACTCTCCCGAAGGCCGAGGCCGAGGCACAATGGAACAATGGTGTTGCTCCTTCTCCAAGCGCTCGAGCCTGGACATCACCACGGGACCAGCCAGTACCTGCTCCAACTTAGGTCCCACATTCGATTGCAAGGCCTGCTGTACCATTGCAATCAAAGGGTCAAGAGTCTGGCTGAGCCCAACTGCAGGTTCTTGCGGCTGTGAGGGCTGTCCTTCTGAATGAAACCCCAATGCTCCACCGAGCGCCGGCTCGGTACTAGCACAGTCTGGCACAAGCTCCATGTCATCACAATCCTTGTTTCCCAGCTCAGAGCAGCCCCAGGTGCGCGGCAGATCCCCCGAAACCCTCAGCAACTTTTGCCAATGTTTCCTTCTGTGGGGCAAACACTGCTCAAAGTTGGGCCTGACCTTGAACCAGGATCCAGAAGCAGCATTGTTTCAGCTTTCAAGGCACCTGACAGATGATCTCTCACCTTGTCAGCAGCTCTGTCTGCCTCACGCTTCCTGAAATTCATCTTCAATGGCCACAGCCTCCCCTTCCAGCAAGGCTCTGCCTGTCTGAGAAGCTTGGGCCATGGCACACCTACTTTCGGGAACTATAAAGAGCCCTTAGGAGAAAACCGTTGGGCCATAACCCGTGTGAGCAGGGAGCGCAGTGATAGGAACCCTTTTCCACCAAGGCCAGCAAAAGATAAAAGTAACGCGGGTTTGATAGTCAGCAGGCGTACGCCTTATTGGACTGTCGCACTGTCACCCTGTACACTTCAAACCCGAGTTGATTTGCAAAATGCAGCACTTTCCTGATGGCTGCTGTGTCATCTTCGCGCCTGAACATTTAGCCAAACAGTCGCATAGAGTTCATGCTGCATTGGAGAATGCACCAAGCCCCAGTGCGGCCAATTGAATGTGCACCGTCATGAGCACCTGCAACATGGGGATTCCGCAAGTGTAATTTTCCCTCATGCCGGCACAAGAGCACAGTAATTCTCCTGCATTCTTGGATTTGATTCCATTTGTCGGTGCCAGCGAGGCTGGGTCTTCGCTGATGCCGGCCTCGGCAGTTCCACCTCACGCACTTCCTGGTGCCTGAATGCCCAGAGTGCCTCTTGCTGTTCCATAAGTCTTTCCCCCCGCCCCTTGAGGATGTGGGCCCCAGCCTCCGTAATTAAGGGTGTCCATGTCCATCAGCTGGAGCTGTATAGCATTAGCCAGTAACCGACACTTTGAAGTTTCTGCATTTTGGCGGATTGGATTTTGCAACTACAGGTGGGTTTGTAATTACATTCTGGGATCTGGATTTTGCAGTTGCGCGGCGGGGGTTTATGACTTTCAAGATGGGGTCAACATTACGGTGCTCATGGTGTAAAGCGCCTACCATTGGACGGTGTTCTCTGACCGTACAGCCCCCAAGCTCGTCCTGTCACCGGTATACTACGGACACCCCCTACAGGAGGGCTCGTTTCCTTGCTGTGTCCAAGTGGGCTCTTGACTGTAAGCATCGACATGTGGATATTCTTGTGCGTTTTGGACATTTTTGCCCCTGGTCAATGGTAAGAGCCAGACACTGTGTTTCCTTGGCAGTCCTTGGCTCGGTTTCTCTGGGGAGGTTGATATGTCCATCAGCTGGCGAATGCCAAATTCGAGCAGCGGCTTTGCATGTATCTCCTCTGAGAAGGCTACATCACAGCAAACTCAAAAGTGTGGAGCTGCGAGAGGGTTCTTTCACACCTTACGGGGTTGAAATGCAAACAAGCAACCCCGTTTATGTGGTTTTGTCACGAGCAGGAACTCAAGGTAAACAGTAGGTTTGGCACCGTCACCATGCAGTGTGGACCCTGCAAAGCCGGAGGTCATTGTACGGAGATTTGCGTTCTTGCTCGCCTTTCTCTGGCTGGCATGGTCCTGAGCTTCAAACTGTAAACTTATTACTTGGCTTGATTCAGAGCAAGGCCGGAGGCTTTGCAGTCTCCGCGAAGTGACCAATGCTGGACTAAACGTTCGCTCTGAAGAACTGACAGGGAGCAAGGACACGAGCCGTACATGCATGTGATTATGTGCCAAAGCACTCCCAGAGGCAAGCGGCGTAACGCATTGTTTGCGCTGGACGGGCTCATCTATCATTGGAGGTCCAGCACCGTTTCAGCATGCACACTGCAAGCGCATGCCTAGTCGGACTTTTTGACGCCACTTGGAAGGGGGATCTGATCAGCAGAATGCTTGTAAGCGAAGTCTCCGAGGGTTGTGTGGTAGCCCAGGTCTGTGGCCCCGAACTTCTTAAAAGTGTCAATGTGCATTAACATGTGCCTTACTCTAAAAGAATTAGAAAAAAGGGTGTTGAAATACGCCTGGGAGCGCATGCCCCGCGGGCAGCCTATCTCTGCTGCCCGGGGGCTCTTCTTTGAGGATGGCAGGGTGCGGATTGGTTGCGCTTTCACTAGATCGTTTTCTGATTTTACCTACTGTTTCGATGGTTTTTAGTGAAGGCAACGTCGAGTTCCTGAGTGTTCTAGCTACAGAATATACGGACGCTTGCTGAGTTCAGGGTTCACCCTCCTTCCCCCCTTCAGGGTCGGTTTTTCTTTGCTACTGGCAGTAGTGCTCAAAATCCGGCTGTTCCTGACATCCGGGTTGCCGTTATTTGAGTTGCTTGGCATTTCAGTACAGGAGATCACACGTGGTCTCACGAGATGGGTCGTATTGGAACTACCAATAACGCCCCTGAAGTTACTGCAGTTTTTGTTGCAGCGTCAGCTGTTGAGCGCGCTGGCATTGCTGATGCGCATTTTTTGACTAATCACCATGCCGTAGTGTCAGGTTTTCAAGGTACCGCGGCTCCGTTGCTAAGTTTTTCCTGTGGCGCGAACTCCGCGCCATTTTCAGGAGGCAGTCTTTTCAGGTCTCTTGGGTCCCTGCCCACGGACGTTCCAGTACCAGATTCCAGCAACATGGGCGCCATTGTAATCGCATGTTCTTCCTGGCCCCCATTTCCCCTCATGGCGTTGCACAACCCGCGACATTGTCAGCAGGCAACACCTGCACTAGACGCGAGTCCTCAGAACCCAGAGCTGTATGCATACGAGCGGTTGTGTTGTGACGTGTCACCAAAAACATGCGACCGAGAATTCGGCCAGCGTAGCCACGCGAATATTCAAGGTTTGTAGATAGAAGCAGCGAGACATTGGCCTCTGGCACCCGGCCAACCAACTCAGGCAAACAATGGGGTTGCGCATGAATGCTGCAGTTTTTTGAAAAACAGAGTGAAGCTGATGTATTCATGCAGCAGATGGGGCCAGAACTCATTGAACTCCAGGAACCAAACAGGTGATCATCAGGAAAAAATCCAACAGGGTCACTCCAAGAGGTTCTCTCTCGGAGAGCTTGCGTAAGCTGGACTGTTCTTCCTGCCGCGCATTCCTGTACAACTGAAGTCGGCCTGGTTCAGAATGTCGCCCCCTCCCCCCTATCGCCTATCAGGCTGCATGATGCATCAGGACAAAATCTCACGCAAGACTATGAATCAAGTATGTTCAAGCCCTAAGTGGGCGCGTGTAAGCGCCAACCACAGCACAGACTCACCATGGAGCGTCCGGAGTGTGTGGGCTGAAGCTTTATGACTTCAGCAAATTCCCGCCATCGGCTTAATCTGTATGAAGATCTAGAAACTAGTGCAGGAGAGCGAAGCTGCAAATGTTATGCAAATTCTTTTCAGACTTGTATATCAAGGTATCTGGAATACCGCAGGTACTTGTGGCTCATGCTTCAGGCAGGAGATCCCTTGAAGTTGGTGAAGAAATTAAGATGCGTCTGCCATGTACGAAATTGCCCCCCTCCCACCATGCCACCCCTCATGCCCCAAAACACAACCTAGGGTCTTGCGTCATGTGCCAAAGCTTGGATTTCAGTCACGTGTCACGGGATTTGAGTCATGCGCTAAAACCACAGTGGCGGCACCGTCCCACATCCGAAATTGCAATTTCAGATGCGTTGTTAGGAGTCTCCCGTCATCACTGGTATTTACATAGGGATTCTGCTCCTATAAGGTACGCATGGTAAACACTGGGGGTGGAGCTTCACTTGGGAGCAGCAAGAGATGTCTGCATGTCTGTGAAGTACTGAGAAAGGTGCAAAAGCATGAGTCAGTGGAGAGTTGGAATCTGAATCCTGTCTCATGATTTCCAGCGATAGACGCTGTACCGCTCTGTACCGCTGTTGCAGGCGCAGAGCTGGAGGAGCTTTCGCCTGGAACTCCTGTGGCGACAAATTGGCCACAACCGGCACAGCTTTTTGAGGCTGAATGGTTCAAAGTTGAGCTTGCAAAGCTTTGCTGCAAGGTGTCTCCAGAGGGGTCGGAAAGATACGAAACCTTGCTGATTCTGAAGGTTGATGCCCTACATTGTCACGGTCCTGCCTTGCGCGGGTCCCAGATCTGGGGTGCCAAGTGGCGCCCTGCAAAATAGTTGCAGCTGAGTGGAGATTCTAGACGTGGTAGAAGTGCAAACTGCAGCAGCAGGCTATGAAGCGCACGTTGGCTGGCTCATGGCCGGATTTGTGCTGCTAAAGTTTGGAACTGCAGCTTTGTTGGCGGCATTTGTCCCCTGAGTCAACAAGCTAGACACCTGTTTGATATTTTTTGCTTTCGTAGAAGATGCGCCTCCAAAACACTGAGCAATTTTAGCATACTCTTCCAAGCAGCCATGCTTAGGGCCTAAACTCACAGTTGTCGCGATCCTGCTATGACGCTCCCACCACAGCCATCACCAGGGGCCTGTGCCTCAGGGCACAGCCGGGTCAAATTCTTAATGCTGTGGGATGTTGTGTTCTGAAGCTGGAATTACTGGGATAAATGCACATACACTGTGGCATTCCTCTATTGATCTTCTGTGGCGTTGGCCGGGCCTGCCGATATCATTCAGCCTGGACACGGGCACAGAACCCAGGTAAACGGAGTTGGACCTTCGCCTTACAGCCTCTTTGCTGCAGCTCTTTCGTTTTGAGACTTCAGCGAAATGCTCAACAGGACCATGCGTCTGCCATGCTTGCTGGCATCCAGTCAGGATCAGACCCAGCCGCACCTGTGGGACCTGGTGCAGCGGATCCATGGGAAGGATACTTGACTTTTGCTTGAAGGGAGCGAGCAGAAAACCCGCAAGGGTGCCGCGTGGTTCTGCTATTTATTCATCTCATTGTTTGAAGACTCTTCCCGATGATCCTGCGGACGGGGAACCAATTAGCTAGTTCAGCACTTATTTTGAAACATCGCTGGGCAGCAACATCTATTTCATGTATAAATGTATAAGCAGAGTCATGGACATTATGTTGCTATTCCATCTCCAGTTATTATGCCACTTGCAGTCACAAACAAGATCCAGTTGTCAACATGCGTGTCTGTGTCTTGTTTGGAGAGCCTCGCAGTGATTTCTTTTTCGCGACCTTCCGACCAGTTATAAGCGACATCCAGGTGGCAGAGATCCGTGGTCACAAGCCCGGACGCCACCACGAGTGCCCTGATGGTATTGAAGCAACGCAAAACTGGTGAGCATGTACGCGACCTTCCTGTGTACTCCTGCCCTGCTCCCATTTCCAGGTAGAAGCATCGATGCCCTCAGCACCACCAGCCGGGCCATCACGCAGGCTGCTTGCAATGCATGCAGTACTGGGTTGGGTCTGTCGGGTCAGCATGTCTTTACCTCAGCCATTTTTGTTTGAAGTTGCGTGGGGGGTTGCACCGATCAGAACGGGATGGAAGGGAACATGGGAACATGTGAGGAAAGATGAGCTGCTCTTTGAAAGAAGAAGTGAAGGACACTCTGTTACTGGATACTGCCCGGTACCAATTCAAATTTGGAGAGTGAACGCCAATCAGGCTTGTTTCCACAAATGCCTGGCCCCACTCGCTGAAATTGAACAGTCTTGGCAGGCTGAACCGTGAATCAACCCCACCGCTCGAGATGTTCTCGCAAGCGGTGAACGAGGCTAATGAAACTTGCTGGCAAATTCATGCAGCATGTGCCTTGACTTTGGCGTCCAGTGCCTCTCAATGTGTTGGTGCGCCTGACTGTGCAGCAGAGCTTGCAAGGCACCTGAGAGATCATCAGCAGAGGCTGCGCCGGCCTCTTGGGCATCGATGCCACAGAACCAAATGCCTGCGGCAATGCCGACGCCCTCTCCAAACGAAAGAAACGAAAGAGTGTATCACCCCATGGCCGCAGCTGGCCCAGAAACGCAGAGCATACAGCAGCCTTTTGGAGCAAGCCAGGCGCCACAACAGAACACAAATGCGACACCCCAAACCCACGCACCCTCCGCACCCTCACCTATGCCAGCAGCATCAGCTCGTGATGCTGCTGGTGCTGCCAACTCCACGGCACCGTCACAGACATCTTCTGCGCCAGCCCCGAACATGTCAGGGGCGGGCAGAGGAACACCGCCAATACCTGCTTGGGTTCAACGAGCAGTAGCTTGGTGAATGATATCACATCGCTGCATTGCTTCATTTGGCGTTCTCAGTGCTTTTGAGACATTGTAAGACTCGTGATGGCTTGCACTTCTGCTGCCTCTGATTCGGCATTCCAGTGTGGGTGGGCAAAGGCAGCAACCACTCCATCGATGCCCCAGGCCTCCGGGAAGATGCAGGGTGCTTCCGGGCCTTCAGGTTTCGCGTCTTCCTGACCCTTCCAGCTGCCAGTTCTTCTGTCCTCTCCCAAAACTTGTCAATAGTTTCACAGCGGTCGCCCAGGACATATACTTGCAATATCTTGCAACAACTTCTCAGCTAATGTCAAAGATTCCAAAGCCAGCAGAGCGCGTCGCAAAGTATCCGTCATGGAGAGGTTCACCCAACGTCAGCGCCTGCTGCGGCACCTGGGCGACAGCAATCAGAAGAGGCAAGCTTTCATCTTTGTTCATCACGAGGGTCAGCAATCTCTGATTGCAGTGTACCAGGGGTTGCTTTTGTGGGAACACATCAACCCTCAACATATATGGGAAGTCCATGAATCAGGCTTCTGCGCCTAGATTTGGTGTGGGTGAGGACTGAGCAGACCAAGTGGTCAGGTACCTCCTGTGGCTGCCCCGAAAAACGGAGTTGCTGCCGCAGGCGTTGCATCTGGAGGGACGATTGGTCTTGGATTGACAGTGCGAATGCATCAAACCGATAGGCCGGCGAATGGCAGATCTCGCAGTTCCCGCAAGCGGATTCCAGGACGCAAACTGGGACCATGCACAGGCACAAGCTTTGGGATGAGGTATACCCTTGTAAGTTTGAACTAGACATGGTATCAAACTTTGGAAGTGCCAATCCAATTCCAAGCTTGACTGACGAACAATGACCTTGGAACAAGCAGAAGGCAGCATTCAAATGCCTGTGGCTGTGAATGAATGGGCATTGGCAGGCCAGTCGAGCTGAGAAGCAACGCAGCTTCAGCATCGCGTTGTTCCGCCAGACGAGTCGTGAAAGGCAAATCAGAGGGCGTGTGCTTGAGGCCAACTGTCTAAGGGAGAGTGATGTTCCCTGCAGCTCCTCAATCTGGTAAACTCGTACTGCCCACACCCGTCGATGGCAAGACTACATCTTAAGAATGAGCATCGCAAGCATGCACAGCGTTGCAGGCTTGGGATTCGTGTGGAGCCTGTGCACGGAACAGGCCATTTGCGCGTCTGACCAACTGCTCAACTTGGATGGATGGTTGTCAGCATATTCAGTTGGAAGCCATAACGTTTTTCATGACATCTTAGGGAAGTGAATGGTCGGACTTCACAGGGAAACTGAATGTGCATTTTGGAGGGCGCTTTCCAACTGGCTTTGATGTTTCTGGCTGCCTGGCTTTCATTCTTCCCCGGGATGAAAGCTTAACAGACTGTTTTCTAGCGTGACAGTCTTTCCCTTGCAAGCCTTGCTTGTTTTCACCAGGCCCTCAGAGCTGTCGGCTTAATATGCTGCACACAGGCAACGACTGCCCAATTTGTAGTTTCAACGAGCTTAGATTGCAACAGGAGACCTGTTATGCAGCAGCACGGTTTTCCAGCTGCCTGACGCAGCTGTGCATTAAGACATTTTAAGACCATATTCATGTTCTGGCTTTTTCTGTGTCTGCCGTATTTTACCGCACACTACTTTCGGGGTCAGGTCGCAAGTACAACCGGTCTATTCAGCAGGCTATGACACTGCGGCGCGCGTGCACTGTATCTTCTCCGGTGGTTTGCTCCTTGACCAGGTGGAGATTGGCACATGCTCAGATGCTGGGGATTGCTGGGATGGTCTTCATTTCTTCTGCACGACGGCACCGACTCAGGATGGACAGGTGGAACCAGATGGCATCTGAAAGCGAGCTGCCCGATTGGGTGGTTGAAGAGAATGCTCCTCGAACAAATGCAAGAATTGGAAGCGAGGAGAGTGAACCTGTCACTTGTAAGAACCGAGCTCATTGTCTATTCTTAGAGCACTTGAGGATGTCATCGCTGGGATCAATGGCCGGCACGATTTCACACCCACCGACCCCGAGGCTGGCCGCCCAGAAACTTCAGAAGTATCTGGCTGCCTGGAAAGTAATGCCTCGTGAAAGACTGCCGGATTGATTGCATGCGTTCCTGTGTGTCCTTGCTCGGGTTGTGTATGGTGCTGTATGAGATTTAAATCAAAGGCATGCTGCACAAGTTTGAGGCCTTTTGCAGTGCTAGGCTTCTCTTTCATTTGAATCCACTAACCTCGATGCACCGAAGTATTGCCCCATACACGCGCCTTGCTCCTCGGGTTACTGGATGTCTCAGGTGCAAGAGGCTCCGCAGCAGCATTATCTTGCAAATGCTTTGCGTTTTTCCTCTTGTCACTGACGTGAGCTAGCGTGCTTTTGGAGTTTGGGAATATCACCAAGAGTACATTCTAAGGCTAGCGAGCTGAACCTGCTGATTATTCGTGGCTGCCAGCTTGCAACAAGAGACCTTACACAGCCCTTTCCAGGTTCTCCCATGTTGAGCTTTCAGTTCGCTGCCATGGCCGTCTCTGAGTATAACTGAGTATGGTCCTGCAGTAGCTGTCGTTAACTTGTGTTGCTTGTGTTGCTGGGCTCTCAGACAAGTGGATGGCTAGGAAAGCAGTGTGGCCTCAGAGGACCAATTTGCTAAAGAGTCTGGCAAGAAGGACCCCACGGCCCGGCATTGAACCACGAACCACCATGCAGGAGTCAGGGGGTCATGCCTTGGTGTTGGATGAAAAGAGGGAAAGGGGTAGAAGGCTGTAAGCCGAAGGGGCTTTCAGATGGGGATGAAGTCAAAGCAACCCCTTAGCTAAAAGCCAGGATCACGCCCTGCTCCCAAAGCCGTTCTGCTCTAAGGATGTCCTCTCGCGAGTGTCGACCTATAACACAGCGCGCAAACGCAAGTGAGTCAAAAGCGCTCGAAAGCCTTGCAGTCCTTGACATGATGAGCGCTTTGATTTCTTGACACATTGTTCGCAAACATTCAGACCATTGCCTGCAGCTTGTAGAAGTCGAGTGACTTAAGTGCTGCTTTGCTACATCCTGCTCCTGTATCCTCAGCGCCTCAATGATGACCCAACTAGCCAAACTAGCCTAGCTTTCTGAGGCTCGTGCAAAATCGATTCGGGCTGTTCACGGGCGACCTGCATGGCAACAGCAGTGCCAGCAACATTGCTTACACTGCTTTGCAGGAGGCCGGAGCAAACCTGAAAGGGTGCGAAAGTGTCACTGCGGCTAGAGCAGGTGGGAAATCTCACTTATGATTGAAAGCCTTGGGGCAAAAGCAGAGAACAGTCCAGCCGAAGTCCATGTTCGCCTGTACTGCTGGCCGAAAACAACCACTGATGTGAGACTTTTTCAGTCTCAGTCCTGCAATTCTGCCCAGATGCCCCTCACGTTCTTACGTGCAGCGCGAGCGCTGCTTTCTTTGGGGATTGGTGAGTTGCAGTTGAGGCCCTCGCTGCATCACGTTTTCTTAGTTGCAGAGGCCCCAGCCTTCACGGATGACGGAGCTCCGGTGAGCGCAGCGTGGCACCCGGCATGCGCGAGCAGTACTGGATCTATCTCGATTGTATGTTGCGTCATGTTGATTCAATGGCGTAGGTGTCAGGATGCCCTGCATCTGGTCCATGCGATATCCTCGTACGGTCTGCGACGCAGGACAGGCCAGATCTATGGTGAAAGCAGCGTGTCCAGGCATGCTGAAACAACACGAGTAATTCATGCATTCATTTACAAAAGCGTGTGCCTGCACACATTTATGCTTGAGTTTTTTGAGGCCAAGTAGCTATTACATGTACGTGGCTTGCGTTCTTGTCCAAACCTCGCTATACCTCGCTATGTTCTGAAGTGCAGTCTAGTCCAGCGATGTACAGTGAAGCTGACGAGGAGCAAGGCCACCTGGTTGATTTTGACGTCCTTCAGATCGCTTCAGGCTTCACATCTGCGCTCCGATAGTGTGCTGTCAGCCAGCTGAGGGCTGCGCAAACTGAGCGAACTTGGCTTCAATGATCTGAACCGCGACGCCAAAATCTTCATGGACTCGTCCTTATTTCTAAGCCAAGGACTAGCCAAGGACTTGACCTGCGGCGTGATGCAGGGAATGTGTTTGTTCACTCCGTGTTCGTATCTACAGAATTCTACAGTTAGATGGAAGATGTTGGGGCCGTGCTTTGCGTGGGTGAGTACAGGCGATTGGAAAGTCCACGTGGAAGACCGACCTTCCAAAGTCCGGCTCCCTGCCAGGCAATCATTAGCCTCGCATCTGCATGTTGGCAGAGGTAGGACGTAGACGAACTCACTTCTTTTCGGTTTCCAATTTTTTCAAATAGAGTAGACCAGAGTGCAAAGCTTGCGCCGGCAAGCCTTGCATCATCTTGCACAGACTGGTCTCTGACTGCTAACTCCATAAATGATCCCAAACCTTGCCAGTTGGCGGCGGCTGACAGTGCATCGGCCGAACAATTCTAGCCTGGGGCTCGGAATGATTTGCCATGCGCCTGTCATGGCTATAGGGACCCTCCCAATTACGGCTACACAGGTAGTTAGCACTTATAATGCTTGAAGAAGTTCAATATATTCGCCCTGGCTGGTATCTTCTTGCCATTGGCTTCTTCGGAGATTTTTATGTACAACGTATGTATGTACAATCTAAACCATGTTTGTGCAGTGGTTGCTCCGTTTTTTCTCTTGCGTGGGCACGCAGTCTTGGGGATGGCTTCGTCTTGCAATATTTCTGGCGCAACCTTGCCTTGATACTGCAGAGTATGTGCGGCAAGTATCCTTCTAGTATGCTGTGCTGCCCCCCCCAGGCCGAGATAAGCTTCAGGTCGTTGGATGGGATGGTTCAGAGGTGCGGCCTGCCTGTTTGAAAGCCAAATATGCGCAGATGACAGTGTGCAACAGCTTCTCCAAACCCCCCATTGTCGCTTAGGTGTTTTTCGCATCGGTACGGCAGGGGGATGACCGAGCGAAACCTAGGCGCCTTGCCACCATGCGAGAAGACTGGAATCTGGAACCGCAGCCATGCATCCTCGCAGGTTCGTTTTGCGTCCTGAGCGTGCATGCCCAAAGCCCAGAACGTGGCAATAATGACCTGCTGAATGCGAGGGCTGCTCGCTTGGCTGGACTGCACAGTGAATCGAGGTACTAACCGCCTCTCACGCTGGCCCAAGGCGCAGAATACGAAGAGGGATCAATTTGGCTTCCGTTCTCAGAGACCTCCTTGCAAGGTCTCTGCGGTGCTGGGCCGCCGCTGTGTAGATGGCCCGGCCTTGCTGGCTAGTTCTTCGCTGGGTTCATACACAAGAGCCCACACACACACAAGCACCAACCTGTTGCACGCCCATGAACAATCAGATGCATATGCTTCCAGCTCTAAACTCTTGCTGTTGCACAGCTGCTATATATCTCAGAGCATCTGAGGCTACAAAGTACTAGCTTCAGGGCATCAGTCTGGGCAAGAAATATGTAACGCACAGCATCAAATCGAGCGCATAGATTTGTCTTGAGGCCTTCCCACGGTCTTGGAAAGATGGCGGCACGTGTGCCATTCTGACAGCAAAACATAGCAAAAGCAAGAGGTTCAATCTAACATACGTGACAGTAATTTGAGGATGAAGCCGGGACATTGATGGGGTCTTGAGATTGCCCGGAGTTACGTAATCACTTGAGATTGGGGGGCGAAGATCGTGAAAGCTTCGGTCTGTCTGCGCGAGGCGCCTGTCGGCCAGAGGCCAAGATCGCAGATTCCTAAAAGATCGAGCTCCATAGAATGGCAGGAGAACTACAAAGATGTGCAGGCCAGACACCCGACGCCTACTATGCTGCGAGTGTGGAAGCCATGAAAATAGTATTGCTTTTCAAGCAGAGCGTGTGCTTTGTTCGTCTTGGGCACTGGAGGCCTTACAGTTTCTCGCAGATGGTAGTCTGCTGCTTGTTCTCACCTCAGAGAGCCTGCAAAATCTTGGACTTTTCTGGTCACAACTCGATGGTCATGTGCTGTGCGTGCTGCACATTTCGGCGCCATCCTCCCGCCAAACTGGGGCCTCGGCACAACACAAAAGGGGGTGGCAGGGGTTGGTTTTGGCGTTCTGTGTATAACGCTCGAAATACTCTCTCCGATTCTATATTCCGTAATTACAAGGGAGGAGGAAAGGCCCGAGTTTGAAGCAGGAGCCGGTCCATAAGTTGAAAAGCCTGCAAAACAATAAGGTCTAAGGTTCTAATCATACTAGTAGGCCCTTAGTATGGCGCCCTAACATGTCCTGGAACAGATTGACTCAAACCCTCTAGCAAGCCTCGAAGCATCCAGAAAACGTCTTGAGTCGTGAGCTTTGAACCCACAACCCGTTTCCCAACAGGCGGTCGGTCGCGCCACCCCTTATTGTACAGCATAGCTTTAGATTGGCGTGCATCCGCACCCGACCAGGACGGCCAGGCAGGATTTCAACAGCTCCTGGCAGCAGTCCCCCTGAACCTGGCTGTTCATTTAGCAGTCTCGCTGTAGTCCTAGCTACTCATAACATGTATGGCAAGAAGCTATTGAACCCAGCTTGTAAGATAGCAAACAACCATGCAATCACAGTTTGACTTCAGCTTCCCATGACGGATCTGCGCATCCCAGCTGTTTGCGTTTCTGACGCTGTGGAACCTCAGCTGTTTCTTTGGCAAAGTTCCCATTTCCCATAGCCGTTTCTACTTGAACGGTTCCGGTATGGCTAGCGTCCCTGAATGCCGGCTGTTTGTTGGCAAGGACTCGTGCAATGTCATTTGCTTTTGTAGCAGAAGTCCCTGCATCCCCAGTTGTCGAGAGTGTTCTTTGTATAGCGAGACTCCAGACGACGTTGGCTGTTGGCATGAAAACAAGCCTTGCAATGTAAGTACTGAAAAAGCTGCCAAGCTGCCTGGCCGCTAATAGCCTCATGTGGACGCAACCTCAACAAGCCAAGCTGTTTGTAGCAGGGCAGGAGCAGACCTTGATTTGAGGTTTCAATGAGGACCAACATCTGGACGTAATCGAATGTACAGGGACAGGACGTGCCAGGACTCTTGGAGTCCGGAAATCACTGAGTTGGTTCGAATCTAGCAGCGAGCGATTCAAATACCAGTGTGTACTACTCATCAATGATTTGCATTCGGGCTTCAGTCGGGTTTCAGAGACAGTGAGTTGTGCAATTACTCATCCTGCGTTACAAAGGAAGTTCATCGCGGTTCCAGTAAAAGGGCAGTTCCCATACCCGTTTTGCACTACACGGCCACGATTTGTTTGTCGATCCTGAGATGGGTGATTCTTGTATGAAACTCGTATTCAAGTACCTTTGTCTAGAACCCAGGTGTCAATACGCGGGGGGCGCCGTAATTTGGAAGGGCATGAGGCTGAGACTCATCTTAACCTTGCAATAATGAGAGCTCCGCCAAACATTGTGTTGCGACATGTTGCGATTTTGGTTTACGGACCGCGGGGTCGCAAGAATGAAGCAGAGGGTGGGGGTAGGACTAGAAGTCTTACGAGTACAGTAGTAATAGTACTAGTAACTACTAGTATAATGCCGTAGAAAATCTATCTACATCAGGATATGTTTGGCCGCACAGCTTTGTTATTCCCACCCGGTTATTATTGCCGATTGAACTTTTTGGTGTTTGGACTCCAAACTTGTTAGAAAGCACATGTAGTTTTTTTTCGGATTTGTTGGGCGCGGTGGGATCTTTTGTTGCCCCCCCCACTTATTTATGAATGGCAGGATAACATTGGCAATGTCGACGCGTTCTCTTGCACGTGTTGTTCCTGTTCGTGATGCCATGCGGCTCACGTTAGGAGTAGAACAGATGATGACGAGCGGTTTTTTGTTTTATGATGCCCCTCTTTCTTGTTGCGAGGCAGAGGGACGCGGGCCAGGGGGAGGAGGGGAAGACATGGAGGGAGGGAAGGAGGGGCAGCCCCAGCGTGCATGCAGGTTTGGGGCTGGTTCCCTGCTCGATATATGCATGACCGATGTGCCAGCATAGATTTGACTGGTTCAGTTCATGATCTCGTGATTTTGCACCTGTTTCCTGGCATTGTGGGTGAAACAAGACAGGATGGATTCAACATCGGAATCCAATCAACTGTGGCAAGCGAAAATTTTCAAAGGAGGACCACCTAGTTCCCCATTCACAATGCAGTGCTCCATACATTCAGGTCCTTCACGGCAAAGGCTTCTTGGATGCCTGGCGCCCCACGACTGGGCAACTAGTTGGGCGCTGGCGGCTGTATCCCGGCGAACGAGACAGGTCAAGACGCCCATGTCAAGGACATGTTACAGGAGCTTGGCATGGAGCGCAGAAATGCAGGGCTAAGTTCGTGCCGGCATTGATGTGCAGCCTAGGCACAAGCCTCAAGCGCCTGAAGCCAGCTTTGCGGCTGGAGTTTGTATTCAGGCCTGGAACATCCTGGAACATTTAAAGATTGATGCCTGGCTTGGGCAAGGCTTGTCTGGTCATTGCTCTTGTTGTAGTTCTCGCTACAGCAAGGAAGGAAAATTTGCTAGCGATCCACAGACTCAGCCAGGAGTTCCAAGAAAGCTATGCCCCATCTAAACTGCAGGCACAGCTGAAGCTGTGGAGGGTGTGGGGCCAGGGCACTGCCCCAGTCAGCCATCCGCCAGGAAGAGCCCCACAGACAACTCGTGATCGCATGGCGAATGCAGAGGCAAGTCATGCAATGTAGACCGGCTATCGTATTGGATTCTTCAGACTGATCACGCTTTAGGCAGGGTTTGCTATGACGCAGGCCCCAAGATTTGCAACTTGACACGAGGTCAGCTCCCCGTCTGGAGGCCCGGATTGTCTTGGCATGGTCAGCACTTGCAAGTGCACAAAGCCTTCAGCCGTTGGTGAAACGCATCACGGTCAACACTTGCAGCATCTTGCGTTGCCATGCAGATCTTGCCTCTACCGCACCTGCTGAATCGTGCGGGCTGTCAGGACCTGTCAAGCCTGTCATGCATGCAGCTCGGGTAAAGAGGTTGTTGCCATGCTGGCATGGGGATGCTATGAGGTTAGTCTGAGGCCGGACACAGTTGAGCTGATCGAAATTAGACAACCTTCATACGCCCCTTGCAGTAGATTTCACACCCTTGGCTAAGACACCCATGTTCGTCCAATGTGTACAAGCAGTCTTTTGGAGCGCAGCCCTAAGCCTAATTCCTTCTAAACATTCTTTACATCACTTTTGGAGGACGCAGCTGGGATGAACAACCTGAACAAGCTCATCATCTGACGAGCGTGAGTGGAATCGCCTGGATGGGGAATGCCTCCAACTCATCAAACTGCCAATGACGGTGGAAACCTAGGATTGGGTCGCACGGCGATTGCCATTTTACGTCAGCACAGACACAAGACGCAAGATGTTTACGTGGGGCTTCACCAGGACACTGTCCATCATCCCAAGTGCATGCTTGCAGCACTGCTGGCAGCTCGAGTGTCTGCAAAGAGGAGGCCGCCCACTCTATGGCGAGCAGTCGGGGTGGAACGCATGCCCCAGTCTCACATCACGTAGTACTGGCCAACGTCGGCCATTGGAAATCGCTTTAGTAGTTAAAACATCAGCCGCGGCTTTTCAATGATGGAGGACCCTGCATTCGACTGCCAATCAAGCTGTTCATTTAATTTGGTTATGTAGTTTGTTTGACTCTTGCTGCGTGCTCATCTGGATCGCAATTGATTGTGACGCCTAGAACATCTCTCCTATAAAAGTCATGGCAAAAATTCTGCAAAACGAGTAAAGCTAGCGACAAAAAGTGCTAGTGCAATCCAAACATTTTGGCCGATAACAGGGAAACGGATGACAATAACAAAATGTTTGATGTCCTTTTACTGCCTTCCTACGCAACATGCACTTCGCCAATACATTGTACCAGATCCATTTGGGCATCAATGCACGCTTGAATTGTGTGAAGCCCCTTGCTTGAAGGTGTCGATTGCCAGCACGCTCGTGGAGAACCCTTGCACTTTGATGCCCGGCGCTGAGAGCTTTGGCTGCTAAGCCGGCTTCCTGCAGGCTGGCAGCTACCAGCGAGTGACCAACATTAAATCGAAAAGCCTACAACAATTCTGGCGGAGTTTGGTGGTCTAAGGTTGAGGGAACTACGTTGACGCTACTGCCAGGCGATTACTCCCGCCAGGCCACATGAGCTGCGGGAAATTTTGAGGGTGCCTGGTAGTCGGTTCTTGCTGGTGAGATGTGGCTAGCCATGTCTTCGCCAAGAACCGGTTGTGTTACAATGGATACACAGAAGAACTTGGCCGTGAGCTCCCATCATGCGCCAGGAGTTGCTCAATACACCGTTCTGTCATATTCTGTCCGTATCAAGGCTTTGAGTACATGAGTAGCCCTGCCAAAAAGCTTTCAGGCTCAAGCGCGCTTGGCGGTACTCTCCATGAATTTCGAGTTTGAATAGTTTTGGACGTGTTGCCAGCATGCTGTTCAACCTTGCCTTACTTCCGAGCTGGAATTGGTATCAGGCTGTGCATGCCGAGGCCCGGAGCCTGGCTTGGGGGGGCCGGTGCGTAGATGTGCGCTAGTAATATCGGAGCATGCTGTCTTCCAAGGAAGAGCCTCAAAGCAGCGATGCGCCCGGACCTTGGTTGGGGTTCGCAGATACACACCAAGCCTTCGCTGCATGCAGTGATTGCAGCATACAAAGCAGCGGAAGCCAGGCCCGATCTGGAAGGCAATGGAAATGAGAAGGCAAAGTCCGACTGCTTTCTAACGGATTGCTGTTTTTGACTGGCGGTTGATGGTGGGTCTTTTGATAGGCGCACGTTTTGTAATACGACATTCGCGGCAGGCGCCGGCTGGCAATGCCAACATCACACGGCCTACCTGCCTGGTCCCAAGTGAGTTCCTATCAAAACCTTTTTGGCGGAGCCCATGTAAGGGGCGGTCCTGTTTTCTCGATACTGACAATCCATGATAGGCGTACTACGTAGGACGGCGTAGGGTTTCAACACACAATCAAGTGGGCATTGCTCTGCAAAAAAAGCCATGCAGTTGTCGGGCCTGATGCTTGGCCATGTTTTAAAGCTTGACATCGTTCGGGTTTTGGTCCTGTTTGCTTTTCCTCTTCAATCTGGCTCTTCGAGGCCAGCCCACCATCATGCCTTTGGAGCTGCCGGAGCCTTTGGGTCCAAAGCTCTTCATCTGGGGCGAACCTGTACTCCGTGGGGCGCTCAGCGCTCAGAGCATGATCTTCGAGGCTTGATTCTGTCCTGAGTGCGCAGGCAAGTACTACACCGTCTACGATTGGCAAGACCAGCAGATTGGCTTTGCACTTGCAAAACACATGCCCAGCGAGGTGGGACTTGATGCTTAATTCTCTGGCTGGAGAGCGGACAAAGGGCAGACTTTCAGAGCCTTCAGGGCCCAGTGTGAGTTGAGCCCATTCAAATTCCTCTGGCAGGTCTCTGCAGACGAGGAGGCGAAGCAACTCCGGGTGGGGCTGCCGAGATGGGACAAGGAAGCAGGACGTAACAGCCGTTAGTTCACAGTGATTGCTCTTATGACGTGGCCGTGGCTTCCCTGTGATTGCGTCTGACCATTGGCAATCATTTCCTTTTGCATACGTTGCCGGGTTGACCTGCCGGTTGAGCACACATAGTAAACTCAACTATCCAATGTGCCAAGGGCCGCGGGCTACTCTTCGCGTGACAAGAGCTACAGAATCTCTGGCTCGTACAACAGCAAGCTACGTGACAGCAGAGCTCAGATGTTTCTCTGCAGTAGCAGCTGCCAGGGTTCATTACGGCATGTCTGGCGTTCCTTTGAAGTGGCATTCAGCTTTTGCGGTCGAGTCAGAGCCCAATTCGTGCCTCGAACAGGCCGCATGTGCCAGAGACCTGTACAAAACTTGCGGCGCATGCAGTCTGTTCGGAGCTTCTGCAAGAGCATCTCCATATACTGGCGGACTCCACCAAAGCAGCTCCGGCTAAAGTTCCGCTTGAGTACTTGAGCCTTCTACACATGCCTCTCTGCTGCATCTGGAAGGCCGCAATATCCTTTGAATTGGCTTGCGCCTTGGCAGGAAAAGTGTTCAAACCGCCGGCTTAGCCTTCTGATTTTACGCCTAACTTGCTGATACATCCGATAGCACAAGGCAAGATGAATGGGCAAATTCTAAAGATATTCGTTCAGTCTGGCCAGCTTCAATTGCACCGCATCGAATGTCTTCAACTAGCTGTACAGCTGCGGCCCTGTTTCTCGGTATCCCAACTTGTCAGGCTCAAGACTGGCCTTGATGTAGCGTCTCTGCGCGGTAGCCTCTAGCAAAGAGGCCTGGACCGCTGACTCCTGAGAGCTTCCTTGCAAAGGGGTACGGGTCGAAGCTTTTATGGCCAGAGTGGGAGTTCTGAAAAGCGTTTCTCGGGTCAGATGATTCTGTAGATCCGAGACTGGCAGGCAGATGGTGCAGTGACAGTGCACACAGACCGCTGGGTTTCCCCCACGCTTTCTCGGTCACCCAAGGCTAAAGACTTACATGTCATGTCGTGAATCGTGAACACTCAAGCTACAAATTTGATTTTTCTTGTGAGTTGCAGCAATGTTCACAGGAGAAAGTGCTACCTGACTGCATCTGACTGCTATCTCTAGCCAAGCAAGCACGAACGCTGAAGTAAATGTTGTACGCAAGTGCAGGCGAGTGCCTCACAGCCTGCTGCGGCATGGCAACCCTGCCTGTGTTGAAGTCACATGGCTGGAAAACAAGTGCTGCAGCGCGTGTGCCCCATGGTGAAGTCTGTCGTTCTAAAATGCCGCGGCCGTGCTTTTAGATTGGCACGTTGCCTCTTGATTGCTTTCGTGCAATTCCGGGACACTGCTCAGCACAGGCAGGAATCGTGAACTGCTCGGCAGGAGCCTGCGAGCAGAAGCAGATGTTGATGAGTGGTATGTCAAGGCGTGCATATGGGGGACTGTCAAAATTATGGTCCCTTTTTGGGTCCCCTAAATTAGGCCCCGTATAAGGCCCCGTATTATAATAGGGACCCAAAAAGGGACCATAATTTTGACAGTCCCCCATATAGCGCCAGCTAGTGCCCGACCGACCGGCTGTGCACACCTTTCTAGTGCCTGTCTATCTTCTCTCTATGTGGCCGCAGGCTACGGACTAGTATTGAAGACAATGCCTTGGAAGTTCAGCCAACTTGCCCGTGGCCCAAACTAAGGACAGTTCTTGGCCCAGGAGGAGGCCTCTCCACACAGGCCTGCTGGATTCCTGAAAGCAGATGCAACCTGTAAAGTCCAAGAAAATTAATATGTTGCGTCTAACTGGCTGAGTCACTTTGGGTGAGGGCACGACGAAGGAGCACAAGCACTGCACATGTATTCTACAATACGCAGAAGAAAAGTCGGAAATCGCAAGGGATCTACCTGAGTGTCAGGAAGCTTGACACGGATGAACTCACCTCACTTCAACTTGGATCCATTTGCTCACTGCACTTCTCGCTTCCAATTTGCGATCATTTCCTGCACGTGCAGAGTCCGTGTAGATCTGAGCCCAAGGATGTTGAGTTGTCATAAATTGCTTGCCATCCAAAGTTCTGACATGAGTCGACTAAATCGGATTGACTGCATGGATCAGGCTGCTTACGGGTGCTCACTGTTACCCTCTCGTGCGCATTGTTTTTGATATGCTTGGAAAATCTCCATTTTGCTGTTGCTGACATACTCGTCGATAATGCAGTCTGGCCAACCAATGCCTCTAGCTTCGCTCACAAGCGAAACAGTGTTCCTGATATGTGGACCTACATCTCACGCACCCTTCTGAACCGAACCTGCACATTACGTCTCCAGTGCTTTGATTTGATCTGAGGCCGAAGAGCCAACGTCGCTCATGGTATCTGGTGGCACCTCGGAGAAACAGAGAAACTAGGTCTTGCAAACTGAAGTTAGAGTCTAGAGATGTCTAGAGTCTGGTGGCCCCTCATGTGAAACAACCTGACTAAGCACTGCGCAAGGACCTTACAGTAGGTGATAAACCTATAGATCACTTTGGACAGAAAGCCTTCTCACGACGGAGAAGTGGAGCGAGATTTCAGGCGTGTCTTTTTGACATGCCAAAAGTTTAATGTTTGGTCTAGAACATGTTCCTCGCCCTTCTTGGATTCACGAATTTCCAGACCGCGAACCTTCGTCTGAGAGCTCTGTGACTTACCCATGCATAGGCCTGGGATACAGCGGGCCTCCTTAGATCCTAGCTATCAGAGGGCCTTGAGGGTCCGGATCAAAACTTTTGACCGGGGTCCCAATAGCTGCACTCCCCGTTCCAAGCCCTCAAACGTTCGACCAGCAGGTCCTCGTGTTTGTGATAGCTCCAGAAAAATCTCCAGACTAGATGGCAAGTCCGAAGGCGTGGCCATGGCCGGCGGCGCTGCTGCCGGTGGCGGTCTTGCCTTTCTCCTCTGTGCCTTGAATGCTTAGCCAGCTTTGCTGGATGCGCATCTCACAGAAAGCTGAAGGTTGAGCCTCGTGCTCGGCACAACTTCAGGGTCCACTGTCGCAAGTGTTTGAGGCAATAGCTTCGGCACAAGGAGAGCACTTGCGGACAAGGTTTGGTCACTTCTTCTGCTATTTCTGGTACCGGGTGAAGGAGAGCCTGACTTAAGTTCATCCGAAGAAGTCATGCACTGAAGCCTGAGCTCTAAGCCCACACTTTGAAAAAAGTGCGGTGCGGCTTCTGCTGGTGCTGGTGCTGATGCTGGCGCTGCTGCTGCTGCTGCTGCTGCTGCTGCTGCTGCTGCTGCTGGTGCTGGTGCTGGTACTGGTGCTGGTG